ATGTGTGTTGTTGTTTGTTTTTAAGCGCAAAAGTATAAGGACCCATAAAATACCCAGCAAGCGAGCCACAGATGTCGTGGGGGCGGGGCAGGGTGGGGCGGGCGAGGGCCGCTGGACTCACTCTAACAGGCCTCTGGAGTCTTCCGAGAACACGTCCTCTACGCTCAGGTGGAGAGTCTGCAGGTTCAGGGCGTACTGGAGGCAGCAGGCGTAGGTCATCAGGTCGTCGGGTTTGCTGATGCACACGTCAATGTCCGGAAACATGCTCATCACCTGTGTGGCGAAGCCGGGGTCCTGCGTCTCAAACACGCAGTTGAACAGCTCCTGGAAGTTGATCTGCAGCTCGCCGCGGGCCACCTGCTGGCTCAGGCCCTGCAGGCACTGCGTGATCTCCTCCCGCAGGCTCGCGGCCAGCTCGAAGCCCCAGGCCGCCTCCAGCAGGCCGGCCACCCGCTCCGTGGCGAACCCGAACAGAAAGAGTGCCGTGTCCTTCAGGTAGAAGGGGGCCTCGGTCATGGTGGCCGTGACCAGCTGCGTGGCGCTGCAGATGCGGGGGTGCTGCGGCTCCCGGGGGAGCCTGAGCAGGTACCACAGAGCGGCGCACAACTCCTGCAAGGACTGGTGCGGGAAGACCCAGCGGCTCCCGTTCTGGCGCAGGAGCCCCATTCTCACCCAGGCCAGGGCGTGGGCCTCCGACACCGTGTTCTCGTCCAGGTCCGAGGGCTGGAAGGCGAACCGGCCAGCCCACGTGCCCTCGGCCGCCAAGGCGCACAGGCACTTGAGGCGGCTGTGGCAGTGGCCCAGCGCCCAGCCCGTGCACTCCGGCTGGAACACGTTGGTGAGGAAGGAGGAGTAGATACACGTGGTGGTTTGGGAGTTCACCCCCAGGGGCTGGCATCTCTGCAGCTGCTTTTTCAGACACTCGCACACCAGCCAGCACACCAGGGGGTACTGGCACAGGGTGAACAGTGGCTTGTGGCCACTCACCACACTGAAGGCCTGGTCGGCCTGGTCCGTGTCCTGGAAGAACCGGGAGAAATAGAGCCACTTGAAGTGGCCCGAGAACCCGGGGAGGTAGACGAACACCGGGTGGCGCAGCAGGTAGTTGAACTTCCTGAGCCACTCCCCGCTCAGGGAGACCAGCAGGGAGGCCTCCGGCAGCAGCGTCCTCTGCAGCAGGCTCCGCAGGACCACGTGGACCGGCCCCGGCTGCTCCCAGCCGCTGCACAGGTCGTCGTCCAGGCCCATGTCGACTTTCAGGTCCTCCAAGCCGTCTATGATGAACAGGATCTTCTCGGGCCGGGAGAAGACGTCGTGGATGGGCTCGGAAGACTCGGGCCAGTCCTTGGAGAGGAACTCCACCAGGCTGGTCTTGTCGATGATGTTCATCTCGCAGCAGTTGAGGAAGAAGACAAAGGTGAACCGGCCCTTCCAGAGGTTGCCCTCGGCCCATTGCAGCATCACCTTCCTCAGCAGCGTGGTCTTCCCGGTCGCCTTCGCGCTGCCCAGGGCCACCGTGACCGAGTGCTCGCCCACCTTGTCGGCCGCAAACGCCTCGCTCAGCCTCTCATATTCAGTCTTGGTGGACTCCGCGTGGAAGCTCTCTGGCACCGCCAGGCACGTCTCGTTCTGCCATATGTCAGAGAACTTTTTCCTCATGTGGCTTTTATACGGGTTGATCTGACCTGAGTTCAGGAGGACAGAATACAAGGCAATTTAAAAACTGGAACTCCCCGCCCTAACCGGTTTGGCTCAGCGGATAGAGCGTCGGCCTGCGGACTCAAGGGTCCCAGGTTCGATTCTGGTCAAGGGCATGTGCCTTGGTTGCGGGCACATCCCCAGTGGGGGGCGTGCAGGAGGCAGCTGATCAATGTTTCTCTCTCATCGATGTTTCTAGCTCTCTGTCCCTCTCCCCTCCTCTCTGTGGAAAATCAATAAAATATATTTTTTAAAAAAACAAAAGACAAAAAAACTGGAACTCCCATTTGCCCCAGTGATCCCACTTCTAGGAATGTATCCCAAGAAACCAGAAACACCCATCAGAAAGGACATATGCACCCCTACGTTCATAGCAGCACAATTCACCATAGCTGCCGAACCGGTTTGGCTCAGTGGATAGAGCGTCGGCCTGCGGACTCAGGGGTCCCGGGTTCGATTCCGGTCAAGGGCATGTACCTTGGTTGTGGGCACATCCCCACTGGGGGTCGTGCAGGAGGCAGCTGGTCGATCTCTCTCATCGATGTTTCTAACTCTCTATCCCTCTCCCTTCTTCTCTGTAAAAAATCAATAAAATATATTTAAAAAAAAAAAAAATTCACCATAGCTAAGATCTGGAAACAGCCTAAATGCCTATCAGCAGAGGAATGGATTAGAACACTGTGGTACATCTACACAATGGAATACTATGCTGCAATAAAAAGGAAGGAACTCCTACCATTTGCAACAGCACGGATTGGCCTGGAGAGCATTGTACTAAGTGAAATAAACCAGTCAGAGAAAGATAAATATCACATGATCTCATTCATTTGTGGAATATAATGAACAACATAAACTGATGAACTAAAATAAATCCAGGGGCAGAGAAGCTTCGAACAGAACTTCAAACTTCAGAGGGAAGGCAGGGAAGGGGTGTTGGGGGGGGAGAGATCAACCAAAGGACTTGTATGCATGCATATAAGCATAACCCATGGACACAGACAGTAGTGGGGTGAGGGCATGTGCTGGGCAGTGGGGGTGGCTGGGGAGAGGTCAATGAAGGGAAAAGGAGACATGTGTAATACTTTCAACAATCGAGAATTTAAATTTTTTAAAAATGCACTCATTCATAATAGCTAAGACAAGGAATGATGGGATAAAAAAAGGCATGGGACGAGTATACAGGGAATACTACACAGCCATGAAAAATGACAAAATATAAGTGAAACCATATGGTATGCGTTTTCTTGGTCTGACCTATTTCACTGAGTATAATACCTTCTAGATCCATCCATATAGTCGTAAATGGCGAGATTTTATTTTTATGGCCAAGTAATATTCCATTGTATATATGCATCGCATCTTTATGCATTTGTCTATCTGTGGGCACTTGGGTTGCTTCCATAGCTTGGCTATTGTACATAATGGTGCAATGGACATAGGGGTGACATACATCTTTTCGAATTAGTGGTTTTGTTTCCTTTGGATAGACACCCAAAAGTGGAATTGCTGGGTCGTATACAAAACAAACACACAAAGGAGTTGAGAACAGATTCATAGAAACAGAGACCAAAGGAATCGTTACCAGAAAGGAGGGGGGAGTGGATGGGTGCAAAGGGGGAGGGGAATATAGTCAATAATATGTGATAAGTTTACCCAGTGACAGATAGTTACTAGAATTAGTTGGGTGATCATATTATAGGGTATAAAAATGTCAAATCACTATATTGCACACCCGAAACAAATATAACCCATATACAATTACACATTAACAAAGGTCAAATATTAAGTTGTGATCCCAAAGATAATTGTAATGAAAGTTCTAATGCTACACTTTCAGGAATTTTTTAAAAGTGAAATATTGCCATTTGCAACAACACGGGTGGATCTTGAGAGTATTAAGCTAAATGAAATAAGTCAGACAGAAAAGGACAAGAACCCTATGGTTTCACTCACATATGGAGCATAAAACAGAAAGCAACAAACGAACTGACAGACACAGACAACAGTGCGGTGGTTTCCGGGGGGAAAGAGAGTGGGGTAAGGATGAAGAGGGTAAAAGAGGTCAAATAGTCCAGCCGTGTGGCTCAGTGGTTGAGCACTGACCTATGAACCACGAGGTCACAGTTGGATTCCCAGTAAAGGCATATATCCAGGTTTCGGGCTCGATCCCCAGTAGGGGACGTGCAGGAGGCAGCCTATCAATGATTCTCTCTCATCATTGACATTTCTACCTCTCTCTCCTTTTCCCTCTCCCTCTCCCTCTCTGAAATCAATAAAAATATATTTTAAAAAAATTTTAAAGTTGGGAGATGAACATACAACCCAATATACATATGTTGTATTATAGAATTATACACCTGAAACTTACATAATGTTATTAACCAATACCACCCCAATAAATTTAATTTTTAAAAAAAAAATTTTAAGCCAAACCGGTTTGGCTCAGTGGATAGAGCGTCGGCCTGCAGACTGAAGAGTCCCAGGTTCGATTCCGGTCAAGGCATGTACCTTGGTTGCGGGCACATCCCCAGTAGGGGGCGTGCAGGAGGCAGCTGATCGATCTCTCTCATCGGTGTTTCTAACTCTCTATCCCTCTCCCTTCTTCTCTATAAAAAATCAATAAAATATTTTAAAAAAAAAAACAATTTTAAGCCTGGCCAGTGTGGCTCAGTAGGGTCATGCGGGAGACAGTCAATAAGTTTCTCATATTGATGTTGCTCTCTCTCTCCCTTCCTCTCTCTAAAAAATTCATTAAACATATCCTCTGGCAAGGATTTAAAAAAACAAAAGTGCTTCCTATATACCGGGAACGTAAGCTCTCTGCAACTATTTCCTACTATTGGATTCCGCCTGGCTCCTTGTGCAGGTCCGGTCAAAGGATGGACAACTGTCATATGGAATTCCACCTCACAGACTCTAAGTCCCAGGCCATCTCCTGGGACAGCATGGACTTGAATTGGGACTGAAAAATGGGAACACCACTGAGAAACAGTCTGTCTCAGGCACTAGCCACCGGCCGGCCATCACTGGCCCACGTATGAGTGGAGCTGCCTTGTCATTTTTCTACCACCGCCAAGTCTCCCCTTAACCCATCACATTCTCAATGGAAGGAGGGGTGACCATTATTCGAGGACGAGATCACCTTTGTTAATGCAAGCTCCCACAGACCCACCTTTGTTGTGAGTTGCCAATACACCCCCCCCCCCGGGTCCCACCCCTGCATCGCACACTTACTTCTTTTTATTTTTTTTTATTTCAGAGAGGAAGGGAGAGGGAGAGAGACAGAGAAACATCAATGATGAGAGAGAATCATTGATTGGCTGCCTCCTGCACAATCCCCTATTGGGGATCCAGCCTGCAACCCAGGCATGTGCCCTTGACCAGAATCGAACCTGGGACCCTTCAGTCCTCAGGCTGACGCTCTATCCACTGAGCCAAACTGGCTAGGGCCACACTTACTTCTGATCTCATCCCCGGCCTTGGCCCAGAGGTCTCTCCGATTGACCTGAGGAAACAGCCTCAGGGCGACTTCCCAGGCCTGTTTGCCTGGGTAATGCCTGCATAGCAACTTGGCCAGATCATCTTTGGAAGCCCTCTTCAGCTCTGGCCATGGGATCGGCCCGAGGTCAGATTGTTTGGGTTCTTGCTTGAGGAGCTCCTTAAATTTCCAGAACTCATTCTTCCTCAGCTCCTTTAGGTACGACAGCAAGCAAATGTCAGAAAAAAAAGATTCGGCCATGGTGTCCCAGGACTATGAGCTCAGACTCCTCCAGGGAGGCGGGAGGGGAGGTGGAAATCTTCAAAAACAAGAAATCGGTGATTCCTGGGGAAGAATGAGGAGATTAGAGAGTTAAATCTCAGCCGTTGAAAGTAGCTTCAGTCTATTATTTACAGTAGAGGCCCGGTGCGTGAATTCATGCATGGGTGGGGTCCCTCGGCCACCCAGTCCAGGAAGAGGGACCGCGGGAGGTTGACTGGCCAGGGGAGGTTGGCTGTGAGAGCATACTAACCACCAGGGGGCAGCTCCTGTGTTGAATGTCTGCCCCCTGGTGGTCAGTGTGCATCATAGCAACCGGTCAACTGGTCGTTCAGTCTACCGATCTTAAGGGTCACTTAGGCTTTTATATATATAGATAGCCAAGATATGGAACCAACCCAAGAGCCCACTGATAGACGATGGGATAAAGATGTGGGGCAGCCCAGTGGCATGGCTCAGTTGTTGAGTGTCAACCTATGAACCAGGAGCTCACGGTTTGATTATCAGTCAGGGCACAGGCCCAGGTTGCAGACTCGATACCCAGTGTGGGATGTGCAGGAGGCAGCAATCAATAACTCTCTCTCATTATTGATGTTTCTCTCTCTCTCTCTCCCTCTCCCTTCCTCTCTGAAATCAATAAAAATATATTTGGAGGGAAAAAAAGAAGTGATGTAGCCCTGGTTGATTTAGCTCAGTGGATAGAGTGTCCACCTACAGACTGAAGGGTTCCAGGTTCGATTCCAGTCAAGGGCACATGCTCGATCATAAGCTCAGCCCTGGCCCTGGTCGGGGGCAACCAATGACATGTCTCTCACATCAATGTTTCTCTCTCTGTCTCTTCCCCTCCCTTCCACTCTCTCTCTGAAAACCCATGAAAAAATATCCTCAGGTGAGGATTCATAAATTTAAAATAAAAAAGAAAATGTGGTGCATATATACAATGGAATATGACTTGGAAAATTAATGACATCTTACACGGATGGGCCTGGAAGGTGTTATTGTGCTAAGTGAAAGAAGTCAGATGGAGAAAGACAAATACCTCATGGTCTCACTCACATGTGGAATCTAAAAATCAAAATATGAACCAACCAAACAAACATACTCATAGACACAGAGGGCAGACTGGTGACTGCCCAAGGGGAGGAGGGTTAGAGAACGGGGTGAAAGGGGGAAGGACTAAGAAATACAAGTTGATACTTACAAAGCAGTGGCGGAATGTGAAGCATAGCGTCGGGATCACAGCCCATCACACTGGAGTGACACCGGTGGTGCCGCGTGGGTACCAGACTTACCAGGTGAGCACTTGTAAGTGATATAACTGTCTACCCACTGTGCTGTATGCACGAAGCTAACACAATATTAAATGTCAACTGTAATGGAAACGTGCATTTTAAAAAGAATATTTTAACAAAAAAATTTCTTACGAACACATTAAAAAGTTAATAAGAATCAGGTAAAATTTATTTTAATAGTACATTTTTATTTTAAAAAATAAAATGAGCCCTGACCAGTTTGGCTCAGTGGATGGAGCATCGGCCTGCGGACTCAAGGGTCCCAGGTTCGATTCTGGTCGGGGGCATGTGTCTTGGCTGTGGGCACATCCCCAGTGGGGGGCGTGCAGGAGGCAGCTGGTTGATGTTTCTCTCTCAATGATGTTCCTAACTCTCTATCCCTCTCCCTTCCTCTCTGTAGAAAATCAGTAAAATAAATAAATAAATGAATAAATAAATAAATAAATAAGTAAATAAAATGAGAAAGACATATATAATTGTTCAACTTATAATTGTTCAACTTAGATGCACATTCTGAGCAATACAGCTTGATGTCGGAGGATTCATTTTAGCAAATGGCCTGCTTTGGTTGGCATTCTTTTTTTTTTAAATAAATTTTATTGATTTTTTACAGAGAGGAGGGGAGAGGGATAGAGTTAGAAACATTGATGAGAGAGAAACATCAATCAAACATCTGCCTCTTGCACGCCCCCTACTGGGGATGTGCCCGCAACCAAGGTATATGCCCTTGACCTATATGCCCTTGACCGGAATTGAACCTGGGACCCTTGAGTCCGCAGGCCCAGGCTCTATCCGCTGAGCCAAACCAGTTAGGGCAGTTGGCACTCTTTTTCTAAGACTCGTCCACGTGGCTGCATGTGGCCCGTTTGCATTGCTGGATAGTATTCCACTGCTACTATTCCAATCTCTTTTTTGTTTGTTTTGTTAATCCTCACCCGAGGATACTTTTCCATTGATTTTTAGAGGGAGTGGAAGGGAAGGGGAGAGACAGAGAGAGAAACATCAATGTGAGAGATACATCAATTGGTTGCCTCCCACGTGTGCCCCATCCAGGGCCAGAATTGAGCCTGCAACGGAGGTACATGCCCTTGACCGGAATCAAGCCCAGACCTTTTAGTCCTAAGGCCGACGCTCTATCCACTGAGCCAAACCGGCTAGGGCACTATTCCTGTTTCTTAATGCTACAGTTGACTGGTAGATGGCTTTTTTGTTTGTTTGGTTGGTTTTTGTTAATCCTCACCTGAGGACATTTTTCCCATTGATCTTTTAGCGAGAGTGGAAGGGAGAGGGGAGGGAGAGAGAGAGAGAGAGAGAGAGAGAGAGAGAGAGAGAGAAACACCAACGTGAGAGAGACACATTGATTGGTTGCCTCCCACATGTGCCCCAATCGGGGCAAGGGCTCAAACCTGCAACCCAGGTACCTGCCCTTGACTTGGAATCAAACCTACGACCCTCCAGTGCGCAGGTGGATGCTCTAACACGAGGCCACACCGGCCAGGACTAGGAGAGGTTTTCTAGATTTTTTTTTATAACGTGAACGACGCTTCTGTGAGCAAGCTCTCACCTGTGCCCTGCGCATATAAGCAGATATTTCTCTGGGTTAATAACTATAGGTTGTAACCCATGTGAAGCAAGTTTATGACCATTTCCCCTCGTGAATGTCATGACTGACATTCCCACCAGCATCCTGAGAGTGTCGTTGCTGCACCATGCCACCATCCTGAGTGCAGTCTAAGCCAGTGATGGCGAACCTTTTGAGCTCGGCGTGTCGGCATTTTGAAAAACCCCAACTTAACTCTGGTGCCGTGTCACATATAGAAATTTTTTGATATTTGCAACCATACCAAAACAAAGATTTCTATTTTTGATATTTATTGTATATATTTAAATGCCATTTAACAAAGAAAAATCAACCAAAAAAATGAGTTCGCATGTCACCTCTGACACGCGTGTCATAGGTTCGCCATCACTGGCCTAGAGTGAGGTCACCTTGACTTTCATGTCAGCTCCTTTGTTCTCCATCATTGCCATTGGCTTAGACCAGTGATGGCGAGCCTATGACACACGTGTCAGAGGTGACACGCGAACTCATTTTTTTGGTTGATTTTTCTTTGTTAAATGGCATTTAAATATATAAAATAAATATCAAAAATAGAAATCTTTGTTTTGCTATGGTTGCAAATATCAAACAATTTCTATATGTGACACGGCACCAGAGTTAAGTTAGGGTTTTTCAAAATGCTGACATGCCGAGCTCAAAAGGTTTGCCAGCACTGCTCTAGGAGATGGAAATAAAGAGTGAGGAGGGCCCTGGCCGGTGTTACTCAGTGGATAGAGCATCAGCCTGCAGACTGAAGGGTCCTGGGTTTGATTCCAGTCAAGGGCACATGCCCGGGTTGTGGGCTCGATCTCCAGACATACGAGAAGCAGCCAACGAATGCACGGACAAGTGGAACAACAAATCAGTACTTCTCTCTCACGCATAAATAAATAAATACATTTTAACGGTTAAAATAGGAAACTTTGTTTTATGGGTATTTTACCACAATTGAAAAAGCTTGTGTCATAAGGCTTTTCTCTAAACATTCCTCTCTCCTTGCTTTTCTAGCTGAAATCTCCTGAACACAGTGTGCGTGTCCCCTGAAGCCCTTTCGGATGCAGCAGGTTAACACCCGTCCCGCACACTGCAGGGTCCAGACGTGGGCAACCCCTGGAAACACCCTAACCACTCACGCACCGTCTGGGCACAGCCTGCCTCGGTCTCCACAACTCACAGCACCTGACCCACCCCCTCTCCGTCCACTTCTGAGGCCACACCCGACCCACATTACCATTTACATGTGATTCGGGGTAAAATACGGGCCCACTGGAACTTCCGATGGTGAAAGATTAGGAGCTGGAAGCCAATCATCCATCTCAATGACCAAGACGGCAAGTCTCACACTCAAACTTCCCGTTTGCCCGCCTGCCCCTCCCTCCGTAATCGCCCAGACCTGGTTTTCATTGTCTCCCCAGGTTCCGTGAATCTCGCAATCAGAACCGAGAGACCAGCCAAGTCTAAGACTTTGGCTTTGGGGATCTTCATCATTTCTCCTTAGTTCCGCTACCCAAGGTCTTCCAACTCTGTCTCTGATTCAATTTTGTTTCATTTTATTTATCTTTTTAATTTATTGATTTGAGAGAGAGAGATTTGTTGCTCCACTGATTTATACATTCATTGGTTGATTCTTGTATGTGCCGGGGAGTCAAACCTGCAACCTTGGCGTATGGGGAGGTCGCTCTTAGCATCTGAGCTACCCGGCCAGGGCTCCGATTCCATTTGAAAAAACTAGGAGGCCTCGGTCCTGTTCTCTCACCCAGTTCAGCATTGGAAACACAGGTTTCAAGAGAAGTGCTGGGTGCACTATCTCTGCTTGAATGTAAACGCGTTTCCCCTTAGAGCATCCTTCCCACAACGAAGGGGCAGGACTTGGTTCTTTTGGGTGCCCGCTACCTCGTTCTTTATGCACTCTAGACCTGCAGGAAGTGCTGAGAAGAGGAGAGAGAGAGAGAGAGAGAGAGAGAGAGAGAGAGAGAGAAAGGAAGGTTCGAAAGAAGGTATCCTCACCCAATCCGGCGGCTGGTCCTCCAGGCTGGTCCCCATCAGAAAGCATCTGTGGGCGCCAAGACTATAAGGCCGTGCCTGCCCTT